TCCACTCGCCCGGAGAGGCCCAAGACGTCGACTGCGGAGGAGCACATTTGATGATTTCTGAGGAAGTGCGTTCCAAGATCATGTTTCCACCTGCGAGCGATAAGGTGGTGTGGTGTAAGTTGGAGGCTACATTATGTGAGGTACTTAAACATGATTTAAACTAGAAGTCGTTAAGCGACAAGCTTACAAATTTCGGTGATGTAATATATGAACACTGCTCCCGTGAGTTCGGGACAGTAGAAAAGGCATAGCCGGGTGCCAAGCAGAATACTAGCAGGAGGCAGAGGGACATTCTGAAGTGTCGGGCAGACAAGAATGCCCTCAGAAAACGGTTCAAAGCCGCTACAGGCAGCGAACGGGAGGGGCTGTACGAAGTTTGGTTGCATTTAAAGAACAAACACAGTGCCCTCTGTCGCGCTGAGCGTTTCTGTGCCAACATACGAAGAACCAAAAGGGAGCGAGAGAAATTCTTTAGGGACCCGTATCAGTTTGCTCGAGGTCTATTCGAGCAACCGAAGTCTGGGACTCTGGTTGTCAGTCAGGAAGAACTTGAGTTACATCTACGCAAGATGTACTCTGATAAAAAGAGGAGAGAGCCTCTCGATGACAATCCAGAGATCCTTAGCGGCCTCAAGCAGCCTGAGTTGCCGAAGGTACCATTTAAAATGGTACCTCCCCTTTGGTCTGAGGTTGAGGAAGTTGTTAAAAAGGCCAGCGGCAAGTCTGCCCCAGGTCCGAACGGTGTTCCGTACGTTTTTTTACAAGCGCTGCCCGAAAATCCTAAAAATGCTTCACGTCTTGTTGAGACAAGCGTGGATCCGTAATCACATATGTCCAGAATGGCAAAAGGCAAATGGGGTCTACATTCCAAAAGAGCAGGACTCGAAGAGTCTTTCCCAATTCAGGCCCATCTCGCTGTTGAATGTCGAGGGTAAGATATTCTTCTCGGTCATGGCTCGCCGGCTCACACAGTATCTGATGGCTAACAAGTACATCGATACGAGTGTTCAGAAGGGTGGTATTCCACGCGTTCCTGGGTGCCTTGAACACGCGACCATGATTTGGGAGGCTATCCAGAGAGCCAAGCATGAGAGAACACAATTGCACGTAATATGGTTGGACTTAGCCAACGCCTACGGGGCATTCCCCCATAGGCTACTGTGGCGAGCCCTTCGCATGTTTCACGTACCGGCACAGATCAATCAAATGATCGAGCGCTTCTCTACCTCGACGTTTACCACGAGGTGGACTGAGTTGCAGATTGGGATAGCTATGGGGTGTACGATCTCACCAATACTGTTTGTCATGGCCATGCAGATCATGTTGAACGGGGCGGCCGGCTACGGTCTGGGCCTTCAAATCGGGGATCTCTGGATGCCACCATTACGTGCCTTTATGGATGACACGACTATTATAACGGGCAGCGAGGAGTCTGCCCGCACGATCCTGGAAAGATTGGACGCGGTGGTCCAATTGAGCGGTATGCAGTTCAAACCGCAGAAGTCGAGGAGTCTGTCTATCCTTAAGGGTCGGGTGGTGGCAACCAGTTTTACGGTGGCAAGGAACAAGATCCCTGCGGTTCTGGATGAACCGGTGAAGAGCCTTGGTCGCGTTTACGATTCGAAGTTATCTGATAGAGCGGAGGTCCGGCGAATACACGAGTCACTGGCTACAGGCTTGCTCGCGATCGAGCTTTGCAGGCTGATCGGGAAATTCAAGGTATGGTGTCTCCAATTCATGATGATTCCGAAGCTCCTCTGGCCACTGTTAGTCTACGAGGTGACGATGACTGCAGTGGAAGCCATGGAGAAGAAAATCAACACAGCCTTGAGAAAGTGCACCGCCTTGTCTGACCGACGTGGCTCTGTATTGCAAGCAGGCTAAGCTGGTACTCCCGTTCAAATCGATAACCGAAGAGTTTAAAGTTGGCAAAGTAAGACTCGCCATGCTCTTGCGCGAGTCTTCAGACCCAAATGTCATCGCTGTCCAGCCCGCTCTAAAGACTAGCCAGAAGTGGAGAGTCCTCGGTGCGATAGAATCTGCCCAGAATGCACTAAAATTGAAGGAGATAATGGGATACACTCAAACCGACAGTCGAGGCCTAGGGCACGGAAAGGTCAATTGGTGGTCAAAGGCCTCAGCCAAAGAACACCGAGACATGGTAATACAAATGGTGAGGGACAACGAAAACGAGGTTCGGGTTCAGAAAGCAGTCCAGCAGTCGCAGCAGGGCCATTGGGTCAGCCTGGAGAGCGCATTGCCAAGAATACTCACATGGGGTGAGATCTGGCGGATGACCCCGCTGCGACTGAGCTTTTCGTTCGTTCGGCGTACGATGTATTACCGTCCGGTGTTAACATGGTTAAATGGTCTGCGACTAACGATCCGACTTGCCCGTTGTGTAAATCGAAGCAGACTTTAGAACACGTCCTGTCCGCGTGCAGGAAAGCCCTAGGTCAAGGCCGATATACCTGGCGACACAACAAGGTGCTAAAAGAGTTAGCAGCCGTTGTTGACCAGGCTAGAATGAGGGCTAACGCCAGAGCCAGTTCTACCATCGTCCCCATTCGTTTCCTCAAGGCTGGGCAGGTTCCAAAAGGTAAGGTCAACCAAAACGCATTCGCTCCATCTGTGCTAGACTCTGCGAGGGACTGGTTACTGGCGGTTGATATGCCGGGCCATGAAAGGTACCCCGAGTTGATCCGGAAGACCGGCCTGCGACCTGACATAGTTCTCCACTCTGCGCAAAAACGGCAGCTCATCCTGATTGAGCTGACTGTCCCATATGAGTCGCGTATGGAAGAGAATCACATGTATAAGCTCGAGAAATACAGTGATTTAGCAGCCGGTCTGAGGAGAAACGAGGCGTACACGGTACGGGTCTTTGCCGTCGAAGTGTGAGCGAGAGGCTTCGTTTCCACTTCACTGTACAATGTGGTGAAAGAACTAGGATTGCGCGGTAATGAACGGAAACGAACACTTAAAAAACTGGGCGAGGCAGCCGAAATGGCCTCGAGCTGGCTTTGGACGCAACGCAACAACGTAGGGAACGGGCCTCGGTGAGCTGGTCCGGGTCTCTAGTGGAAAAGGGTTTCTCACCCTTTGAAAGTCCATCGTGTCCGAATTGTCTGCCAGTGTTCCTCTGCGACCTGCTAACAAAAGTCCAATATGTGTCCGGTAAACCAAATGTAAGCTTGTCGCTCGGTCGTCCAGGCATGCTGACTGTTCTAATTAGGCTGCCGCGACGACTTCTTATCTCACAGTACCTTCTGCAAACCACCAAGTCGCCTTGTCTCTATCCGAAAGAAAAACACCATCCGGTAATTTCGTGCAGCAGGGTACCAGCCCTGAGCTTCATGAACTCAGGTGGGCCCACCTCCGAAAGCGTCTAGGAATCGTGGGCCGAAACGCTCGTTGACGAGGATAATTTCTACTGACGACTGGTAGATCCCTGCTGTACTTGCTCCCTGTGAGTTTATTCCTATCCTTCCATCATGTTCTTGGTCTACCTCGTGCTCTACGTCCTTCTTCTCTTTCCATGTATGGAAGTGTCATTTCAAAGTAAGTATAGTAAAAGTAAAGGACTCTTTTCCACGCCTTTAGGCTATTGGATATTTAGTTCTAGACCAATATTTTATAGGCAAATCGGCACTTGGTGGTTGATGTCGTCATCCTCACACCGGCCTCCTTTACTTCTAAGTACAGCACCTGATACCTAATCAAGGCTGGGTCGACCCGGGAGCCAAAGTCATTTTTGAAGAAGAAAAAATGCTGGCTCCAAAAGGACCCTACCCACATCCGCAAGTGAGCGTTTAGCCGATACACCATGGCGATTAACCTCAGTTTAGAAGGAGAGGTAGAACTAGTCAGCTGGAAAATATCACTATCATGAACGACAAATATAACGCTGAGGCTAGAAAACCTTCATCAGCATACAACACAATCAGATGATATAATTACAAACAAGAATACACACAAATCACTTAGCTTTACGATGAGGCATGTCACAAAATCTAAAGAATTGTAATAGTGTTAATAGTCAGTGTTTAAATCAAGTGTGGGCCTATCGAGCAATTGTTACTGGCCCGCAAGGTTGATGTAAAATTACTGTATAATTTGGCCCCAAAATAGCAGGAGGGAAAATACGTTCGTATAAAGAAAATAAAAATACCCGCATAACAATATCCAAACGATGTTTGTTGTTTTAGTATCCAGAAGCCATGAGTTGTTAACCCTTAGGCTCGGTATTATGGATATCGCAACCTTTCAGCCTTGATTCCATCGTAAAAACCGTAAATCTGGGAGAAAATGTGGCTTTCCTGCCTATCTCCGAGATTAAACCCGGACCACAAGGAATTCGTCACCCGGTCTCCGCGCAATCCAGTTTAGCCAACTACGCTAGAGAGCCGGGCACATCCAAATGATAACCAGAAACTGATGTCGCCGAATATTTGATCCTGCTAGTGAAACACGTGTTGCCGGCAAATTCAGATATTAGGGGACAGTGTTTGTCGGCGGACTATGATAATATGTGGTCCGCCTGTATGTTGACAATTCTAAATTTGCCCCGTGGATTAAAAATAAAAGTTTGCCCACCCCTGGTGTAGATTATGTTCATCGGGTATTCTGCACCCCCCCCCCCCCCCCCCCCCCCCCTTTTCCACCCTCCTCTACGTGCAGCATTGCAAAAAATATTAAGAATTAAAGGCAACTAGAAGACAACGTACATAATTTTTTTTTTTTTATTTAAAGATCTTTTTCACGCCAATGACGCAGCAGATATATATGATGCTACATGCACTTTTAGAGACCAATCAACACTCTGTGGGTGGTGTTATCAACATCCGTCAACCGCCTTTACTTTCCGAGGCTCCACCTGGTAATTATTTTATCGCGACCGCCAAAGGAATCATCGTTATATTTAACTCGATATCATAGCAGCTGAAATTTAAACAGTGCAATCCTGTAAGCCAAAACTAATGTTATAATTTTTCTTGTAGAGTGGATTCTGGCGGTCTTGCCTCTCATATAGGGCTGGCAGCTGGTGATCAGATTGTCAGAGTGAACGACATCGACTGTCTGTCCATCACTCACAGTGATGCTGTTGATGCTCTGAGATCCAGTACACACCTCATTATTACCATCAGGGTAAGTAAAGTAAAGGTCCCTTTTCCACAGCTTTAGGCGTATAGGGCTAGACTCATATTTTTTTAGACCAATTGGCACAAGATGCTTGATTTGGTCAGCATCACGCCGGAATGGCTTTACTTCCCGGGACTGCACCCGCTACCCACTCAAGGCTAGGTCGACCTGGGAGTCAAGATCATTTTTGAAAAAAGTTCGGCTCCGCCAGGGAGCAAACCCACAATCTTCCGATACGCACGCGAGCATCTAGCCGCTACGCTTCGGCGACTCCCTACCACCAGGTTAAGCTTTTTTTTAATGTTACTTGTTCTATTTTTGCATACTGATAATATTTTGGAGTAAGTTTAAAAGACCCATCTCTTCTTAAAGATACATACATTATCAGTATCATTAGTGTAAGCTTTTCTTCAAAGTTATTTGTTTTATATTTGCATCCTGATGAAATTTTGGAGAACTTTAGAAGATCCATCTCTTAATTTGAAAACTACACCGAGTGCTAATCTCTCTCCTTCTGACGCAGCCAGTCACTGTGCCCACTTGAGATGGCATTGAGTACCTCATCCCTTTTTAAAAGTTCACATAGTAGACACTGTCAATAAGGAACTTTGAGTTAGGGTGTGTTCCCTGATGGATAAATCCCATCTGGTAAGCCTTCAAGTGGTGAAAGAAGAAAAAAGAGATAGATAGGTAGGTAGATAGGTACATCGGTGAGTGGCTATGAAGGTAGGTATTAAGTATGTAGGTAGGTAGGAAGTTGAGTAGGTATGTAGGTAGGCAGCTGGGTAGGTAGGTAGGTAGGCTTGTAGGTATGGATGGACAAATAGACCTAATCACAATTTAAATGTTTATATTTCTACTCGGACAACAGCCTGTTGGGAAGTACCCTGTGTTCAAAGAGCTGTATGCTGAGTATACTTGGAGTGATGTCAGTAGTTTTGGTCCTGCAACAACCAGCAACATCACCATACACAACAGACTAGTGGCAGGTGAGTTGTATGTTTGTCTGTCTTTCTAATTTATCTGCCTGGGACTCTGTGTGTATTTTGTCCGTGTGCAGGTAGTCACCTATGACTGATACAGGATTGAGGCGGACTTATGGGAACAAAATGCCATGGACCGTGTTGTGTGGAAAGGGCATAACAGGAAGGAAATAAGAGTGAAGGAAGAAATTATTGCAGAAAGGATGAGAGCTGAGCGTTTGGAAAGAAACGGATTAAACACGCATGTTGTTTACAATGGTCCTGAAGTCCCATGCTATCATTGTGGAAGACTTTTCTTGACAGGGGCGGCTCTTGCTAGTCACACTCGTCATCGCCATGGACTGTTAGTCTCCTGCCTCCTCACAGCCCAAAATAACACTATCGTCTGGAAAGACAGAAAGGTGCCAATGAATGTAGTCACATTTATTGACACTACGCTGAACTCACTTTTGTGAAATTTTGGTGATTTAACCTAAGTATATTTTCAGGGTTGTTACCTGTCTGTTTAAAACAACTTTAAAACAGTAGTTCCCAGCTTGGAGCTTCGGGGAGGAGGGGGGACGTCAGGCAATTTTGAAATGGAAAAATCTGGTAATCTTGGTTTCATCTTCATAGCAAACGGGTCACCCCATAGTTGCTTCACTCCTGAACCAACGACAAAAAACACATAGACTGTCCATTACTTATCCTTTTTATTTTTTCAGTTTAATTATAAATAACACATTTTCTAGAACTATTTATAAAACAAAAAGCCAAGGACATTTTTTGTTTTAATAAACAATCTGTGTGTGTGTTTGTGTGTGTGTGCGTGTGTGTGTCGAATTAATATGGTAACACACACTGAATTATAAATTTAGAACACATTCTGACCAAAACGTTTTCCCATAGTGTATGTTTCCCTTGTTGTGGAATCCTTTGTTGTCCTCTTTTTATCACATTTTGCTATGTTGGGGATGGGGGGAAAATGGAGAGTGTCCTTGTTAAATACTCGAGGATTGGGGGGGGGGAGGGTCTTGCCATATACTCAAAAGGGTAAATGAAGACATGAAAAAGGTCCACTCCAGAAAGATTACAAAAAATTATTACTTATCATGTGTAAAATAGTCAATAAACAGTCAAACAAGCAAACAATTGCTTGTCACTAATTCTGTTTGATGTGTATTACATGGTGTCTAACTGGAAAAAAAAAAGAGAATTAAATTATGCGACAAAGGTGAAGCTTTTGGAGAGAACTGAACAAATGCTGGTGAACTTTTAGAGAACAGGTGCTGGCATTGCATTTGACACACACTGAGAAAACCAAATGACATATAACAAGAATGTTACTGCACTGGAACCTATAGTGTCAAAATAATATAGTCACACCCACACACACAGAAACAAAACATAGAGAGCTGAACTGGTGCAGAATGGGAAAAGCTGTAAAATATTAAACGGATGTTGGCTTGGGCTGAGCTGTAGGCAATAGCAAATGATAGAATGAATCGGCGTGAGTAAGTTGAGGGTCTATGCTACATTGTGGAATATATAGCCTTAGAAGAAGCAGAATATGCGTTGCTTTACTTAATAGTTCTAATACAGACATTGTAAAAGACTTGCAAAAACATGTAGATATAATAATCAGTCTTTTTTCTTTTGCTACCAGCACCGGGCGACAATTCATCCGGAAAATATTCCCACAGAACCAGGACCAGAGAGAGCAGCATTGATCTATCGCCACCAATAACCGGCTCAAACAATATATATAGCAGCCTGGATTTGCATGACGCTTTAGACGAGCTCAGTGTTACTTCCGAAGTTGAGGTAAGGCCTTCTTTTGTCACTATGAGCAGTTTACCTTACCAAGTTACATAAGTGACCACATTACTCCATATCGTGTGACCTCCAACAGTATGTAGTGGCTCATGTGATGATACCTTTCCATCCCATGACAGATTTCTGCCAAGAAGCATTTTTCGAGGTCTTCCTATATCTCTTTGAAGCAAGATTTTGGTGCTCTAGCCTTGACCACATGTAGTATGACTATGGCGGTCATGGCAGTGACAAAGGCAATACTTTGGCTGGAGACACAGACTTTCAGCAGCGCATATTTTCTTAGTGATTCAATGAGGATGCTCAGGAAGATGAAGGGCTGGGTCCAAAGACAGTGGAAGGGCTGGGTCCTAAAACAATGGCTGGAGTCTCTGATGCAGTGGTGGCTGACAAATATCAGCTTCATATTTGTGCCATGGCTTGCAAAGAAATTAGAATCTGATAGACTTGGTACTGTGGAGGGTAGACGATCCATGGACCAGGTCGATATAATGAAAGCTCTATGAGAAGATGCTTGCGACCACCAAGGGATAATTGTGAATCTGCAACCATTACCAGACTGCAAGAACACCATGTTAAATGAGGTGTGGCTAGACAAGAACACTATGCAAGAAGAGAATGAAGAAAAAACCAATACAGAATGGAATTTGTTTGCTGCTTTAAATTGTGAAATTTACTGAAGAGAGATCCGAGTTTTTAATGGACTGAATGGTTAATAGATTTTATGAGCTGCAAAAGATTTTCATTTTTAAAAATGTTTTTGAGGCTACTTCAATCATTTCATTATCTTTGTTGTTCCAACCATATGAATATCACAAAGAATATCTTTTTCTTGTTCTTCTCTCTTCTTCTTCTTCTTCTTCTTCTTCTTCTTCTTCTTCTTCTTCCTCTTCTTCTTCTTGTTCTTCTTCTTCTTCTTCTTCTTTTTCTTCTTCTTCTTATTCTTCTTCTTCTTTTGTTTCTTCTCCCGCATTTGCCCAGAAAGTGGTTGACACAGAGTGTTGTGGTTAACAGCTATGCTGCAAAATCTATGCTTTTTGGGTTCAACATATCCAATTTCGGCAAACTCCTAAGTAATCGTCTTTTACAGAATATGTGTCATAGACAGTGTGTCTATTCTTTTTTCCCTACAAAATGAGGCATGGGAACCCAAACAGAGTGTATATTATATAAATCTGATCATAATTTACTATTAATGCATTCTCCAAAAAAATGTGTTTTGTTGTATTGTTATAACATACTGGTGCCTTTCTTTTCAATAAAAAAATTTTTTATAATGGAAGCATATTTACTGTGTTCTTTAATTGTTCATTTGCAGTCTCAAGTCTGCTACCCAGGAGATAAGGACATCATGTTTAGAAGGAACCAAGATGATACATGGCAAGATATAGACAGTGTCAGTGAAAACTATGCTTATTCTCACAAGTCGTGGGCAGCAGAGAAAACTGACAGCTTGCGCAACTACCATGACGACTCAGATCTCAGTGATCATGTCCTGGACTATGCAACCTTCCTTGAACATGCAGCTATGAAAGAACAACAAGAAAAGAAAGTAAAATCGCAGCGGGCTGAAACATCGAGTTTCTTGAAAGATGATAGTGTAGTTATTGAAACTGTCATAGAAGAAAGAGTAACATCCTTTGCAGCAGATCCTAGTTCATCTTCGTTTGCAAGATATGAGGAAACTTCAGATAATACTGATCAGATCTACTCTCAAGTACAGGATCTCACAGGAAAAGCAAGACCTGGCCATTCAAGATCAAGCACATCATCCAGTACCCACTCCATCCCAGTCTATGCAACTGTTAACAAAAAAGCCAGCAGCAATAACACTGAGTCCTTAAGAGAGCTCGATGTCATCAGTTTTGGGGTGCACAGCAGTGACAGCAGGCTGGGTAATAGTGACAGAGAAGAAACAATTGTCAAGGAGGTGATTGCATCACAGATAGAGAGACTGGAGGCTCGAAAGTCAAGCCTGGGTACAAAGGAAATCACAAGGATGACGGAAGGGTCGGTGTCTTCTAGAAGTGAGTGTAATTTCACATACTCTCATGTATTTTAATGGTCCCTGCTATAAAAGTTAATGCTGATGTTTACCAAAGTGAAATGTTAAATTTTATAGTAAATACAGCTACTGACACCCCTATATACCCTACTATCTGCAGTCTTACAGTGTCTGTTGCAGGGACATCAAGAAAAAGAAATTGGGAAAGGGGTATAATCTCCATTAGACATTGCTGGGGGGGGGGGGGGGCATTAGAGGCCAAAGCTTTGTTCAAGTACATTATTGTGCATGGGTGTGTGTTCTCACTTCTCTTACTAATATATAATGGACAGAATATCTAATGAAGCCAACTTTAAAGCTGTTGACATAGAAAATGACAAACTGTACATTCCAGATAAAGAATTAGATCCACACACAATAAATGAGCCATTATTGGCAGACGATGAGTGCCTCTTCTATACTGATGGGAGTAAACCACAGAACCATTTAAACAGTCCCTGTTCTACAGTGTTGGGAATAGACTACAAGACCATTTAAACAGGCTAAGTTCAACCTGAAGAAATGCAATTATATTACCAGCTGATGCAGTTATTAAAACAGCCAAACATATGTCAAGAAACCAAAATTATAAAAAGCGTATTCATGCCAAAACTTCGCTAACAGTGCCGAAATTTTACATTATCTCAGGCTAAAACCTTTGTAAAGTTAACATTGTAAAATGAGATGCCTGTGGAAAGTTGCCAACTTAAACATCTGAGACAAAGAAAGAAATGGTGCTATCAGACAAACTGTGCAAACAGCATCATACAACATGAACCAAATTGAGTAAGAAACACAAGATCAAATGGTTTAGTCATCTCGTTAGAATACATTCACAACTACAACAACTGAAAAGATCTGATGAGAAAGAAATAAATCACAGTAGGAGAAGATAGACAGTTGAAACTATATACTTTCTACATCAAAAAGAAATGAAAATAGCCTAAATACCCTACTATCTGCAGTCTTACAGTGTCTGTTGCAGGGACATCAAGAAAAAGAAATTGGGAAAGGGGTATAATCTCCATTAGACATTGCTGGAGGGGGGGGGGGGGGGAGCATTAGAGGCCAAAGCTTTGTTCAAGTACATTATTGTGCATGGGTGTGTGTTCTCACTTCTCTTACTAATATATAATGGACAGAATATCTAATGAAGCCAACTTTAAAGCAGTTGACATAGAAAATGACAAACTGTACATTCCAGATAAAGAATTAGATCCACGCACAATAAATGAGCCATTATTGGCAGACGATGAGTGCCTCTTCTATACTGATGGGAGTAAACCACAGAACCATTTAAACAGTCCCTGTTCTACAGTGTTGGGAATAGACTACAAGACCATTTAAACAGGCTAAGTTCAACCTGAAGAAATGCAATTATATTACCAGCTGATGCAGTTATTAAAACAGCCAAACATATGTCAAGAAACCAAAATTATAAAAAGCGTATTCATGCCAAAACTTCGCTAAAAGTGCCGAAATTTTACATTATCTCAGGCTAAAACCTTTGTAAAGTTAACATTGTAAAATGAGATGCCTGTGGAAAGTTGCCAACTTAAACATCTGAGACAAAGAAAGAAATGGTGCTATCAGACAAACTGTGCAAACAGCATCATACAACATGAACCAAATTGAGTAAGAAACACAAGATCAAATGGTTTAGTCATCTCGTTAGAATACATTCACAACTACAACAACTGAAAAGATCTGATGAGAAAGAAATAAATCACAGTAGGAGAAGATAGACAGTTGAAACTATATACTTTCTACATCAAAAAGAAATGAAAATAGCCATTACTACCCATCAAGGAATAGATCACAAGCTGTTCTTCCCCACGGCACTTAACGGCAAAAGTGGACATTGATGATGATGATGTTATATTTATGTGTATATATAAAACTGCTCGTTTCAGTGTAATACAAGTGTCTTTGACACCTCTAATGTATGCTATGTTATCAAAACTTTAGGATGCCAGAAGTATCTTCATAATTAGACTACCTAATCGTGTAAAGTTGCTTTAGGCAATATGTCAACTTCTCATCTTTAAGCATATTGAATAACATTTGATTTTTATTTTATTCATATCTAGTAGTAGGATATCGGGGGGGGGGGGGGGGGGGGGGAATGATCACCTTCTAGCTCCAAGCCATATATCTGTATCCTCATTGTGGAGGATTAATATATAATTGACCTTGTACCAGTATAATTAACAAGTACTGATTTAGCTTACATTGAACCCATGTATGCAGTGTTTGTTTATTTGTAACAAATCTTCCATTACCTGTAGGTTCTGTTTCATCATATGAGTCCCAGGAGAAGAATAAAACAGGAACTTGGACATCTTTAAAAAAAAGGCTCAAGGGAAGCTTGCGAAGTATGGGAGCAGGACAAAGTATGTTTTGCATATTTATTGTAAAATTAGCTTAATGTATGTATTGTATCTGTTTTGTGACAAAGTAGGACAAAGTATAGTAAAAGTAAAGGACCCTTTTCCATGCCATCAGGCGTATTAGATATATAGGGCTAGACCTATATTTTAGAGACCAAACTGCACTTGGTTAGTGATGTGGTCAGCATCACGCTGGCCAACTTTATTTCCCAGGACTGCACCTGGTACCCACTCAAGGCTGAGTCGACCTGGGAGCCAAAGTCCTTTTTGAAAAAAGTCCGGCCCCTTTCAGGGCGTGAATCCACGACCTTCTGATCCGAAGCCGAGCGTCTAGCCACTAAACCACGGTGGCTCCAGGACAAATTATGTTTTGCATATTTATTGTAGATGTCATATATAAAAATCTAGTTTGCGAGCTGCTTTAGTAAGCTAATACACATCTAGATTTATTCATTATCCCTATATACTAAACGGACTGATGCAGAAGATTTTCTACAAACATGTACCATAATTTGTGTCTCAATTCACTTGATCAGCTGCCTTATTCTGAGCCATTTTTCCAACCAATTTAAAATGTTCATTCACCTTCTTAATATTTCTTTATACACTGTTCCTTCCTCCTTTCCCTTTCTCTCAATTTCTGTCTCTTCAGCTTCCTGTCTCTCCCCATTTCCTTTCTTTTACTATATCTCCTTCATCTCCATCTTTCCCTCTCTAATTTTGCTAAATGTCCATGGTTGTCATAACATGCTCTTTTCATAATATGAACAAAACTATAATGATCATCTTGTCATGAGATTAGTTCAAAATTGAATGTTAAATTAAGAATTGACATCACGGCACTCGGGACACACCCCTAAGTGCTCTGTCCCCATCCTCAGCAGCAAATGAAGGGTTCCAATTCCAAGGGTACCAGTAACTGTTGGATTGTACATCCATCTCATCTTTTTCCTTGAGTGTTGAGCGTTGGCCAGATCCCCTGGTATCATTACAGTCTGAGGAGAATGGCACTGCGAGGAGTTGCCAGGAGATGTGGCCGATGCTCAGCGCTCAAGGGAAAGGCGAGACCGATATACAATCAGACAGGTACAAGTGCCACTGGAATTGGAACTATTTGTTTGCTGCTGAAGATGAGGATGGAGCGCTTTTTGGAGTGTCCCGAGTGATATGTCGATTCTTAATTGAACATTCAACATTTACTATGTGTGACCTAAGAATACAGTTTGATTTTTTTCTTCTTCTTTTGTATTCATCCTTTAAAATAAAAATAGTGGGGCGCATGGCACATTGTATTGTGGTATACAGCTAGGCATTGATATCTGTTCATTTTGCCTAACACTATGATTTCAGTAAATCTTTAATTAGTCTATTTTTATTACATGCTTGTTAAGGAAGCCATGGGTTTATTCTTTGTTCCTCACAAAAGAGTGGCCCCGGAACCAACACATGAAAACTTTCTAAAAGTTGCTTATAATTTTTCTTTTAGTAGAATCCAGACAAATGTTGTCAGTTCCAAGATATTTGTAGCAAAAATCATATTGTGTAATCTTTCTTTGGGGTGTTGAAAATGACCTGGGTGAGCGTTCTTCTGTCTCATATTATATTAGCACTTCTAGGCAAACATTTTATTCTTTTTATTTACTGTTTAATCCATCCTCAAAGTGTTCTAGAGTTGTCTACCCCCACTATCTATCTCTTAACAACAGCCTGGTACACTTTTAAAAGTGCTTTAACTTTGAAAAAATAATAAAAAATGCTTTTCTGTATTTTCAGAAAAAAGATTATCACTGCCTTCAGTAGAAGGTAAGATATAATATGTCAACTGTTTCATTACGCTTCTATTAGTGTTCGCACTAGTAGCTTTTCATTTAGATATCACAGACAATTATCTTATAATAGTTTTTTTTTTTTTTTTTTGTCAAGAAATGAACTTGGAGCACAATTAAAAGAGATGAAGCCTTTTTACAGGTTTTCAAAAACAGAATCTTACGATGAAGCTTTGGACCCATCAAAGATTGCAAACAGCAGTGAATGGAGAGTGAGAAGCAACAACAAAATTCATTATCTGTTTAAATCACCACTGATAACTGGCATCATGAGAGCTAATAGACTGAAATGGTTGGGGCATATTGAAAGAATGTCAAATGACAGAGAAGTAAAAACTATATACGCGAGGGAGATGAATGGTCGTAGACCATGAGGCAGACCAAGAAAACGATGGAGAGATGATATTCCTGCAAACATTTGGTGTCACCAACTGGAAAGAGATGGCTAACCAGAGATTTGAATGGAGGTGGGTGATATCTGCAGCAATGAACCTCAAGGGCTTAGAATGCTGAAGAAGAAGAAATTAAGAAATGAGACTTGTTAAAAGTTTAACTAGAGTAATATAGTTTTGGAACGATGCTTTGAAATTTAAGTAGCCTGGGCAGAACTCCAGTACCACTGGTCCAGTAGCAGTATTTATATATTTATATTCCCTTTTACGCTGAGTATAGAATGGTGCCCAGATGCTCTTGTCTTCCCTGCACCATCCTCTTCCGACCTATTAATGTGCTGTATTACAAAATTGATCTTTAAATGTTGATAGTTA